AAAGCTCTTGATTCCGCTGTTTGGAACTGATGAGGCGTGTCTGCAGCCGACCACAGCCTCTGCTGAAGTCAGACAGCTCTGTTTGTTGTGAGTCCAGGAAACTAACGGGACAAGATCCCACCTGAAGTCACGGACAAGGCTCTCATCAGCCGGGGCTCCACACTTTCTTTTTCTTTGGGAGATGAGGGGTCTATTGTAGAAGAGGGGTCTCAACATTGTCCAATGCATATTTTATCTGAAGATGGACATATTTCACTGAAATGTTGGGTTACTTTAATCACATATAAAATAATATTTTATTCCTGGAATATGAAAAGGGATTGAGTTATGTTTTGACAAATGTCTAATCCTGTCATGAGAATGGCCACAAAGACTCCAACATATCCACCAGTGCATTGCACAGAATAGATGTGTGTAAAGCAGGAAGTGTGAGCCCCAGCGGCCGGCGCGCTTGGCCAGTCGCTCCTCAGGGCCTTTGTGGAGAACAGGCCTTTGTGTGACCTCATGCCTCACCTCTGATGATCGGCACGGACACAGGTTTCCTGCCCAAACACCACCGCCCATCTTCAAAGTAATGGCTTACAGCTGCTGCCTGGATAATCCCTCTGTCTTTGAAGAGATGCCGTGACATAATAGCCCCAACTATTCTACTCTAAATTGTTATGCTGTTTCTCAAAGTGTGCAGCAGCAGAGGATAGTACGTGAGACAGTTGCAAATGTTTCTAAATGCAGCCTGATTATCATTTTCATAAGCAGCTCCATATTTGCCCCTCCCCTTTCTCCTCTTTTATCCTGGCCCAGTCCTCCTGATGCTTATCACTGTGGCAGAGGCATTAGATGTAATGGCAACATGAATCATTGACAACATGTGGTGTGAACTAAAGATGCTGTCACACTTTAAGTTGCTCTAATCTTTTTGACCGTATGTAGCTCTTAAAAGTAAATAAGGGTGCCTGATAGGCCAAAATAACAACAATAACACTATTTCTCACAGCCTCCCACGTAAATAGGAAAAACATAAAATAGCTAATGAAACATACAGTAGCATAGCATAGCTTGTTGAATTTACCGCTTTCTTCTATTATCATTTACAAAGGGGAATACTGAGATTAGAAAGAATAGACATGTTTGGACACTACCTAAAAACATAGTGGTCAAGAATCCGCTGACACTTACTCCCTCAATGCTTATGTCCAGTTCTGGGAGGCCAGTGTAAATATTGACATTTCTGTGTCTTGGATGCGGCCATTGATCCGCATCAGTGGGGTCCTTCCTCGCGTCCGTGCGCTCAGGTGTGGGACAGCGGAGGGAGAGAGAGCTGGGGATGTGACTATACGCTGGTGGTCCTGTCTATGTTGTGCTAACTCTGCACCAGGGAGTCATGTTACCTAGGCACCCAGAGTCCAAGCAAAGTGGATTTTAGAAGGACTTAGGATGGGTCAGTGGGATAAAGAATGATGGTCACCATAACCACTGAAGTCCAGGCTAATGTCCCTGCAGATATATATATGATGTTATAATATCAGATACAGTGTTATTGAGTGACGTACTGTATAGAGTTCAAGGAGCACAGTGCGGCTTATTGTGGTCCCCTATGGTCATCATAGCTGCTTGATTCTTACCACACTGACAGTTTATATAATATAGAATAATGTAAGCATTAGATACTTGCAATTTAGTTTAGAACAATCGTTTCCATTTTCCCCCATGTTCGCTCAGCCGCTCCTCTAACCACTAATCAGGTAATGTCGAGAGGTTGAATGGCAAGCCTCCCTCCGGTCAGCCTCCACTGCTCACACAGCGGTGTTGTTTTAGAGAGCATTCTTTAGCAGCTGAACTTGGAAAGGTATTAAAGTGGGATTAGACTCCTCCACAATCCACTGCTTGTGTCATTCAGGGAGTTTGTGTTCTCCGTCCCTGCTGCCGCCTCCCCGCTCCTCCCCTGTTTGATTGTGACTAGCCGCAGGAGTGGGACCGACCGAGGCCTTTCAAAGCGCAGGGGTAGGGTTAAATCCCTAGTCCACTGCTCCCTGCTAATTCCCCTTGTTCCCTAGAGAAGGATTTACTTCTGCTGCCAGCTTCTCAAAGGCCCTCTCTGCCCATCCGAAAAGTCGCTGTTGCCTTCCTGTGGAGGTGTGGTTGCCATAGAGGAGGCGTCATGCATGGCTATTCCATCTGAGCCCTGCTGAGAATGGAGACCGGCGACTGAAAACAGGCCGAAAGTCCGGATTAGGGCACCGGACAAAGGCAGAACAGGAAGATTCCAGAAGAGACCAATAGGAATTACAGCAGCAAAAATAATGCAAAGTGACAGAGAGGGGAAATAGAAAAATAATGGCTTACAAGATTAAACTCAGTGAGAAGAAAGGAAAGAGGGGCTTGAATGAGAATGTTTTCATCTAGATGAGGAGGTTTTAGCGGGATGTTGTAGGTGAATGCCCAAACCATGGACATATCAAAATCAAGCTAACAAGTCATTTCCGCCACCTTTTTGCACTCGCTCACAGAAGCCTAAGCCGGGGATCATTAGCTAAACATTAGAGTTGGAGCAGAGAACTTGTCTTGACAGAATCATCACCACTTTGTACTGATCCCTGCATGTAATAAGCTCATGTTTCTGAATAAAACAGATATTCAAATTAGATCTTAGTTGTGTTAGATATTATTTCCGATCACTTCAGATTTTCACCAAAATGTACTTTGTTTGGGCGAGAGATCCGTTTTGGCAGATGACCCAAAAGTCGGTGTTTTGGAGAAACCTGCCAAACTTTCTTTTGCGTGGGATAATCTTTGAGGTTTTTCCACTGTGAAACAATAATCCTCTTAATCTGTTGTAATAAATGAAAGATAAAAAGACTGTGCAAACCATACAGAGCCACAAATATGATACCTGCTATTTTTTCTGCGACTGGCATCTGTAATTGGAGACGTTCTGTGGTTTGGGTATTATCTATGGATTTTTTTTTTTTTAAACCCATTCAAACGCTATGATGTAATTAAAGTTCCCTAATAATTTGCATTGTTGATCAGTGGTCGAGCTATTAATTTACAAAGCTGTATAGATGACAAGCACACAATGCGCTCCTGAATGTGCATACAGCTGCTCACACCGTATCACCACTCTATCAGCACCTATAACTGCATTAGCATAACAAAAAGCATCCTCCGGTCTACGCCTCTCTCATATTTACACGTTATATTCATCACCACCGCTCATCCCTGTCCCGAATCCCGCAGCACATGATGTCAATTGCTCGACTCGACAATGAAATAGATGTTCACCACAAATAGATAGGCGGGTGCCAGCTGTCTTACACACAGGGCAAACAAAAGAGTCCACTAATAAATCCAGGGCTTTACGGCCGGACAAGATCTAACCGCACTCCCTTGCTCTTCTTGCTGCACTTAATGCGCCGTCTTCCGAACAACACAATTAAATGCCTCTCAGTCGCCAATAAAACAATGCAAACATCTTCCCGAAAGGATATAAAAGGAGATGGAGGTGTTGGTGGGAATGGTGATGGAGGCGGTCATAGCGGAGTAATATCAAACAGTGAGATGAGATATGAAGCGACCACGGGGCAGCCTGGTAGCCCGCAATGAATCACGGGCTCGGATATCGTAGGCTGCATAGATAAAGACTTATGTGTGATGTGAATGGAGCAGTGGTGGTGGTGGTGTGCAGTGGGCTCCTGTTGAATGTGAATGAGGGGGAGGGGGCACCCATGACTGATCCCACCGGGACGTGCACCAGCCAGGATCCACCCAACACATTTAAATTGACATGCAGACACAACGTGCGCGCCTGCTTGACAAAATATTGCTTCTAAACCTATTTATTTAGACAATTTAGTGATGCATTCGTTATTACTCTTGTTATTATGTTATTAAAGCTGGGATGTCTAACTCTCAAATCAAAAATGGAACTGTGTATTGAAATCCATCTCACTAGTTGCTTGTTCTCAAAGAGTTTAGGTTTATCACTAGTTTGCTCATTCATATATTTTTGGCCTTGGTAACTTCTTTAGATCAGTTTTTTCAGACAGGAAAGTGGGAAAATGAGGACCATCCACCTTCAGCCAATCAGCCCTCAGCCCAAAGAATTGGTGGATTCTTTTGCTGGATATTTCACCTAACTGACCAACCTTTTTTGACCAAAGAAATAAAAAAACTAAACGTATTAATTTCCTCTATCTCTTATAATGTTTCAGGGCGCTACCTTCTGGCGCCTAACGAGTTTACTTAAGACTTGCCAATAGAACAGGCATCGAATAAATTGTAATTTTGCACTTGAAATGTGGAAACAAAATGCTGTAAAACAAGAGATTGCACCATAGGAAAATCCTCTTTAGAGTCATACTATTATGTAAGCAATTATTCACTTTTTTCAGTGTAATGCATTGCATATTAGTAAGAAACCGACTGCAGGATATCCAGGACACTCGACATTCAACAACATTTAAGGACATTTATCAGTATGTATGGACACTGTTTTTATCAGTGCATTTCTCGTGTTTGAACGGTTTGATTCTTTGATCTGTGTTGGCAATTTCAAGTCCTTCGAGGTAACTACTGTTGTGATTTAGGGCTATACAAGAATATTTATTTATTGTTTATTTGGTTGAGACATGTTAATGAACACATCACTCCAGATTGTACATTCGCACTCACAAACACACACTCATTGATAAAACACACACTCATTCACCCTGAATGAGTGTGTGTTTTTAGTGGTAGGGGAAACTGGAGTACCCGGAGGAAACCTACGCAGACACGGGGAGAACATGAAAACTCCACTCAGAAAGGCCCTGTTCCGACCAGGATTTGAACCCAGAACCTTCTTGCTGAGAGGCAAGAGTGCTATCCGCTCAGCCACCGTGCCGCCCTAATAAAATGAATTCAATTGAATTGAAATTGAAATACTTCTTCAAAGCATCTTCCCAAAATGAGCTAAATAAATGTAATTGTATGTTTAATATGTGTTGTCATCTCTCTTGTAGGTTGTTTGCCACCAAGTGCAGCGGGTGCATGGAGAAGATTGCGCCCACAGAGTTTGTGATGCGCGCTCTGGAGTGCGTCTACCACCTGAACTGCTTCTGCTGCTGCGTGTGCGACCGGCAGCTGCGGAAGGGCGACGAGTTTGTGCTGAAGGAGGGACAGCTGCTGTGCAAAGTGGACTATGAGAGAGAGAAGGACCTCCTCAGCAGCGTCAGCCCCGATGATTCAGACTCAGGTGAGAGCTCCCTCACACCGCAGCGAGAAGCCCACACTCCGGTGCGACCATCACATGACACCCGCCTGTTGTATTCTGGACACGCTGTTCTGGAGCGCTCACAGCCAACAGAGAAGTCCGCCATCATGAGCCTAACCCAGCCGTGTCAGAGCAGGGCACAGCGCAAAGGGGAAATGCCAAAGAGTTCACTCGTGTGTGTGTGTGTGTGTGTGTGTGTGTGTTTGAAGAACTGCAAAATATCTGGACTTTTTATATAAGAATGTTCTGAATGAAAATGTGGCTCTTTTTCAAGTTGGGGTATATGGGAAACAAATACGCCGCTTTTAATCAGTTTGGTGCTATCACTAGTTTTCACCTCCTATATCCAACAATACTATTGCTGTGAGATGTTTCTCGCTCTCAACATAATTTGATTCCATCACTTTTCATATGCATATATCGTTGGCCTTTTTATGTAAAATTCTTGTCAAATTCTTTTCTTCTTTCTTAGGCAGCATGACAAGTATTGACAAGTACTGACATCACCCATAGTGTTTGCTGAAAACGGAAGAAGCTGTTTGGAACATCTAGCTGGAGCTAAATTCCTTTTATGGGCATTTGTTCCGAGGGGAGCCGTAACAAAGACACAATCGGAAACTGAGCTCCAGGAGATTACTTTTCATTATGAGTCAATAGGAGCCTGAGAAAGTTGGAGCAAGATTTCATCCAAGAGCACATCCCTATTGGGCTTCATTGAGCTAGCGGGTTAGCATTGTCCATCTATATACAGTCCATCTGGTGTCAATCAGATGTAAAAGCACTTTATACATTTATAAAGTGCTTTTATCTCTATTCTCCAGTATGCCACTTTTAGAAACAATTCTAGTTTTTAATAAGTAATACAATTTTTGCTGCATATTGTTATTTGGGATATAGATATCTTATATGCAAACAAACATGTGTCTAGCCATGTTCTAGTAACCTAATATCTGCCTATCCTCAATGTCAAAATGGCCAATTAGTTTCTTTAAGGAGTCCAACTAAAACATAAAATGGGGAGCATAGGTTTATGCTACAGTGGAAGTGGAAGCAGAGCTGTATTAATGGCTGTCCATACGTGGGCTGAATCTGTTGCTGGAAAGAATTAAAGGCCGGCCTGATGGTGAGTGACAGCGGGATTTGGGGCCTGCATGCGCCCCGGTCTTATCAGCTCTAGTGTTCCTCGCCCCGCACACCACACGGCACCTCGCCAAGCCTCACCGTTCACCGCCATCTGGCTCACATTTAAACCTGCACAAAAGCAAGGGAATTTGTCAAATACATCTGTGCCTGTGTCAACTTTTGTCAACTTGTGGGAATATTTGCTCGGCCTCTTCCCCGTTTGGTTGTCACTCGAAAGACAGAAGATGACCTTATCACAATGTTTTACCCAAAAAAGTGCAGTTTCTCGCTTTGAGGCATTGTTATATACAATAGAAAATGTTTTTTAATTATTATTGTCATAGCTCTGTTTGGAAACATCAAGCCAGTAGTATTTCTGGGAGGTCATGTCTGTAAGTCATAACTAAACCAGACGACAGAGGACATGTTTCTCATTTGTGAACATCCATCCTGCCGAGCGCATGAGTAACACTTGTTTGTTGACTCAGTTGAATTGATGATTTTATGATGTCTGTATTGTGCCAGATAAGTGTTTGTTGAAATAATTATGATACATAATCAAAGTATTTGTCCAATTACGCCACAGGAGTGCAGCTGTCTCTGCCGACCCCAACCCTGAATAACATATTACACCTGAAAAAAAACATACTGTATGACTGATTTTATTTTTTCGAAATGTTATGTGAAACAATGTGGAGCCCTGAAACTTCATGAGAAATAGAGGAAGATAAAAGGAATAACAGTAATGAATAAAAACACATTTTATAAAGAGTGTCCTGAATTCAGGTGCGCTTTTGATTATTCTGCTGAAATGGACTTTTAGAGGTTTAAAGTCCATTTACATTTTCTTTTAAAACAAAAAACTATTGGCTTACGAGAAACAATCGGTGGAGGTATGAAATGTTGTCAGTACGTATTTTGCTGCTATAATTAGCATAAGCTAAACCCATTAACACAATACATACTTGCACATGTGAATGTTCCATTCTTGCATTACTTGGTAACACTATAACACTGTTAGTCTTTTGTTCTAAAGCAGGAAAATGTATTGTGTGCTATTCCTGCATTGCCATGGAGCGTTTGTGTAGTCCTCTTATCAGAGATTGATTTAGTGTAAATCAGACAAAGCTGAGGACCATAAATTCCGGGTGATGCCGTGTTCAGTCCTGTGACAAATGTGCATATTTCACTTCTGTAGACTAATCGTACGTGCAGCCTCTCCTATTATAATAAATTGATAACAGTATCGAAAACACATGTCTCCTTTGATTATGTTCTGTGTGTGTGCGAAGAGGAAAAGAAGAAAAAGCAGATTTGTCAGAGCACTGTCACTGAGCCTGTGTTTTATTGTGCAGAGAAAAGTGACGATGAGGAGCTGGACATCAAACCGGAGAAGGGCATCGGGGGTCAAGGCAAAGGGGATGATGGGAAGGATCCACGAAGACCCAAGAGACCGCGCACCATCCTCACCACGCAGCAGAGGCGTGCGTTTAAGGCTTCTTTTGAGGTGTCTTCCAAGCCCTGCAGAAAAGTATGTACTATGGTTCTATTATGTCTTTTATTCTTGTGCCTGTAAATCTGAAAACCAATTGGGAATGAAAGGATTTTTAACTATTCATATGACTTTTATTATTCTACTTATTTGTATCTACTTTTTAACATTCTGACCAGATTTCATAAAAAAATGGGGTGCCGTCTTATTATAAATCAAGTATGAAAAAGTATTTTTGTACATTTTTTAAGAAAGCCACAACTTGAGTTTAGAGCTGATTGGCTTAGAAAAAGAAGTCCAATCTTTTTCTATTTAGTGTTTGAAAAAGCTGAGCCAAATAATACATTCACGTGTTGTGGAACCAAACTGTTTTGAGAGCAAGGAACTATTTTGAATTTTATTACATTTGTTGTGGTTTTAAAGTTAGGTTCCCCAGCACATGTGGATATGCAGGCTATACTGTACAGCATTAGTGCATAAAGTTAAACACATTTATACAGAAAGTTCCCTCCCTCCAGATCGGAGCTTTGAAGTGGGGCTCTGCTTTCTGGTCTGTGTTAACGGACTACACTGAATGACAAACTGACACAACATCACTGCCTTTAGCAACGACCATAAAACAGGCACAGCACGAGCTCCCATCAGGTCACCGTGTTCCTTTGTTTCGTTTGACGTTTTCCTCACTAATTTGTTGTTTGTTTGTAGGTTCGAGAAACGCTGGCAGCAGAGACCGGTCTGAGTGTTCGCGTGGTGCAGGTCTGGTTCCAGAACCAGAGAGCTAAGGTAAGTCATGTTCTGCCTGCACATTGCACATCTTTGCTGGGGAGCTCACAACAGCCTTTTTCCATCAGGGATTTACACAGTGTCACATATAAATCATCTCAACTGTGTTTGTTAAAGTTATCACTGCATTCCAACCACAAAAGTAGAAAAAAAGTTGCATTTACCATCTACACCCTCCTTTTCTGCTGATGATTATCAGTGAAAAGCTTTGATTCTTGACAATGAAGTGCACTCGACTGCAGTTTTATAAAGTTCATTTCAGGGTGAACCGTGAGGAGCATCCTTTTTAAATTAAAGAGAGCATGTTAGTTTTGGGAGTTCCTCACAACTTTGACTCCTTTGTCTCAGATGAAGAAGTTGGCGAGAAGACAGCAGCAACAGCAAGAGCAGCAGAACTCGCAAAGACTTGGACAAGGTATGTCATCCGGCCCAATTAAAGCTTTTTCAATAGTCCAGGAATAAACCAGATTCGAAAGTCAAGCTGCTTGAATGATGACTTCATCTGCTAAGCCACGGCAAAGGAAATATCAGGCGGTGGGGAGACGAAGCCACAAAAAATATGTCCCCAAACATTGACGTCCAAGAGCAGAATGTTTTTGCAAAGGGATTGTGGGAAAAAGTGGCCTCAGGATTAGTAACTGGCTGCTTTTTGTTCTTCTGCCTTAAGTTGTGTTCAATATAAAGTTCAACCTGACATGTATGCACCTGTACTATATGATTTGCAATTCTTACTATTAAAGGTGATCAGCAACTTCAATTGTTTTTCATCTTTACAATACTACAATATATGTACAGTATATTCTGAATATGGAACACTGTACTATATGTACTGTACATATTTTTTAACAATATATAAAAAATAGTCTCTCCCTTGGGAATGACTGCGACCAGTATGATTTGCTGGAGGAGAATGACAAGGGGCATCAAGGGTTTAAATTAATTTTGACCAATCAGGAAGCTTCTCTTCAAAAAGTTTCACTCGCTTTTTACAATTTGAAAAGTAACTGACATTCACGTTAACTTGCAGTTTGGAAAATAAAAGGTTAAGATTTGTATTAAAAATACACATTTGACCTCTCCCTCTGCAAATCTCAGCCTTCCTCAGCCTTGGTCCATTTTCTCTTCCATCCAAATATACAAGAATTGAACTGAAGTTTGAATATTCAAAATAATATCCAAACTCATTTTAACTAAAACAGTTATGGACAAAATCATTGAAAAGATATAAAGATAATAATGGATAAAAAAAGTTGAGCTGAAAACAAAATAAACAGTGGATACCTTGGTGTAAATCGCCTTATATAGTTGACCAGCTCTAACTTTTTTGTAATTTGGCTCCTGACCAAATAGACTTTGACACTCCTGTTCTAAAGGCTCATATACACAAATCTAATATTAAAATGTATTTGTACACATTTGACCTGTCACTAACGATTTATTCAATATAGTCAACAAGCCAGCAATGATATACTAGTATACTTGTCAAACGATATTATTGACTTTTTTCACAACACTCACGCACACACACACACACACATGCGCACACGCTCTGACTCTGCTTCCGTTTGGTTTCCCCACACTCACACGTTGTCGTCCTGTTCTGCAGAGGTGATGTCCAACCGGATGGAGGGCATGATGAGCTCCTTCACGCCCCTCGCCCCCCCACAACAGCAGCTCGTGGCCATGGACCAGAACAACTACAGCACAGACCCCTTCCAACAGGGCCTCACTCCCCCTCAGATGCCCGGGGACCACATGAACCCATATGGTGAGCATCCAGTCACTTCTCTCCCCCCCCTCCTGCTTTCATTAAAACAACACCCACTCCTCTCCTCTCCTCTCCTCTCGTGTCCCTTGATCAGACTCTTGAATGCAGGACATGTGTTGTAGCCACAGACTCCTAGTTTATGCCTCCAGAGACACTAACAGCTTCTCCACCCACACTTTAGAACATCAAAGAAGCCACTTAGGCGTGGGATATACGGCAATTTTACTGATTCAAAACAATTTTTCACCATATTTTGAGCCATATCATCCTGGAATGTATCAACAGAAATAAATGAATAGATAATAAGGATACTTAATAATAAAGCATTAGGATGGGAAACATTTCTGGTACTTTGGGCTCTTGGTCTAAAGGGTTAAAAATGAAAAATGTTAACAAGAAACTTTTGGCTTACAGGAGATAATAGGTGGAACTAACACACATTTAGATATTGTCAGAATGCTATTTTAATCCTGAACTAAACCAAGAAACAGCATCGTATTCATATTTATACATACTGTATGTTGTAATACCTAAAGGTTCCATTCTTATATTACCTGGAAACACTTGACAGGTTATAGTCATGTGTGGAAATCTAAACCAGGAAAATATACCGTAAGTATGAGGAAATGTTCATGCCCTATGTATGAACTGTGCTATACGATTACACTTGCCTCGCCTGTCTGTGACTTCCTGTTTCTTACGTGGCAATAAAAATGATTCTGATTCTGATTCTAAAAAACACCACATAATACAACATATTGATAGAAGTATATAGGTTTCCAGGACAAAGAATATACATATAACTTTCAATTTAATTTTGTATTTTATTTTGAGACAATTTCTATAAGGTTAAGATAAAACCCCATTTAACCCCATTTCAACTTGGGAATCAAAAATCTGTGGTTTATCGGCCTTTATGTTCCTTAGCAACACGTCTGCCCCTCTTATAGCAACAAAGCTAACCCCATCAGCACAAATGCAATCTCCCATATGAAGAAATTGGCTCCAGCTCGCTTATGTTCAAATATTCTTCTGCATTCGCCAAACACTATGAGTGATGTCAGTACTCGGTCAGTACACTCCTAATGCATGGTCTGTGGTTCATTGATCATATTTATGGTACCTTCTGTTCCTTTTTATAATGTTTTCTGTGTTTGCGTCCTCAATCCTCACTCAAATGTGCGCGCTAATACTTCAAAACGACAAACATCATTTTCTGGATTTCTCGGTATAAAATATAAACACACAAAGCAGGCAATCAAACTTCTGTTCCCACAACGTAACAAGCACAACACAATGATGTCCTTCACTCTTCCCTGTGGGACCATTGCCTCTTGCTTCATAACATAATTTGCTTCCATTTAGTTGTTCTTGGTAGTGAGAACTCGAGTCCCCAGCCTCATCACTCTCTTTCGGTTTGGGGAAAACAACAATATTGGCAAGGCATTAAAAGAAATGTCTCCAAACACTGTCCCCATTTTGTGCAACCCTATCATTAAGAACCAGAGTGTAATAAAGTTAACTATTCCCTCCAGAGAAATAACATGTTGAGGTTTTATGAAAGGCGTAAACAGTTGCTATTAACCAGATCTTTTAGTGGGATGCCCCTAGTTTACATACCCCATCACAGACCGCAATTGTCCCGGCGAGGGCAGCAAACGGGAAGCTTTGATGATATCTACCAAAACACTTCTCACTATTGTGATGACACCGTGCAGCTATTTCACATAGTTACTATTAGTAATTATAATTTCCCACCACCATTATAAATTAGTGCTTCAAGATTGACTTCCTGTTGTTGTTGGCAAACCTTTGGTGTGGTGTGCGTTTGTTAGATACAAAGTGTGTGGCGTGCTGAGGGATAGGTCATTGTTAAAAGTTTAAATAGTTGCTCAACTAAAAGAAATTGTTCTAAAGTATTTTTTTGGTTGATGCTCATGTGTTTTATTTTATTTTATTTTGATAAAAAAAAAAATCTTTCTTTCTTTGCCTTCAAGGGCCTGTCTCCTGTGTTTTGTTTATTTATCTATTCATTTTACTACTCAAAATATTAATTAAAAAAAAAACATTACAAGAACACAAGAGCTACTGACTACGCAGTTAGTTTTTTACTTTCACTTTTGCACACACTCGCTCCCTTTTTACCTAGCGACAGATGACATTGGAATATGATTGGTTAAAAAAGGTCTTATTACAGAGACAAAATATATCTTCCTGATATTTGAAAGTGAGTGCATGTAACTTTTCTAGTGGAGTCTGTATTTGTATTCAAACAATTAGCACTTAAGAGGAAGAATAGTTTTCCTGTGTCAATAAACGTAATAATCATTTGGAAATAAAAATAAAGTAAGTGGTTGAGATTGAGGCTGGGTGAGGAAAGTGGACAAATATTTTGCGTCAAAAATTAATAATTAATAAACCAGAATCAAATATTTTTAAAACTGGGATACCTAGCCTTTTTTCATATATGCATTTTGTTTGTCCCAATAGAAAGTCTTGTAAAAATATCCTTTTGCGGACAACATGCCGCCTGAATATTTGTAGCATACATGTAAGAAAGAGCCCTACACTATTTTACGTTTGGGGCTGAGAGCTGATTGGCTGAGTGACGTTGATCCTCTCTTTTTCACGTTTCTGTCTGAAAAAGCTGGTCTAAAGATGTGAATACTAGCGATAGAGCCAAATCATTCAGTGGACTTTCTGAAGTTGCAGTATTGCACATTGCACATGGTTACAGTATTTGCTTATTTACAGATAAAAATTAGGTACCCCAGCTTTAATTTTGAATGTGTCGTTGTGTAGTGAATGTTGAAAGTGACTGATCCATGCTTGTGTCGGGCCCACAGGAAACGACTCGGCCTTCCACGACATCGACAGCGACACGTCTCTAACCAGCCTCAGCGACTGCTTCATGGCGTCTTCAGAAGTCAGCTCCCTGCAGGCCCGCGTGGGAAACCCCATCGACCGCCTCTACTCCATGCAGAACTCATACTTTGCTTCATGAAAAAGAGAAACAAAAAATTAACACCAGCACCAAAAAAACTGCCTAACTCAACCTAAACGTGGGATGGCCCGGAGGACAAGCGAGAAGACTTTGCTCCTGGTTATATGTGGAAGCGTATAAGACAGAAGAACCACTGGACCTGGGAATGGAACCGTGAAAACACTTGGGGATGAAGACTTAAAAATATGAAAAAGGATTTGGTTGGATATCAATCTCACTTTGTTCACTTAAGTAAACAGAAGCCACTGATGACATACTCAAACCAAAACACATGATTTATACAGTGCATGATCAATTGTATACGTTTTGTAAGCCCCTGGTGAAGATGTTGTGTCTTTAGGCCGTTCATGGATGGCCATATTCACTGTTAGCATTCGGTTCACTTTGAGTAGGTTTAGATATTGTGTGAATAGTGAATAGCTGCAGCATGTCTGCAGGAGTGACTGTACATTAGTGTAAGTAAGTATGAGAGTCTGGTATTAAGAGGACACAGGTGCAGATTAGGTGGACACATAGGATCAGTGAAAAATGTACATAGTTTTTTTCCAGGCAATTTGGATGTGCATGTTCAAATGGAAAGCATTCTATTTATTTAACTAAAACAGGCTCTTGAAGGTACATATTAAAACTGAAAGCTTTATTTAAAAAGGAGAGCATTTTGTCTTTGTTGAGCAGTTAGTGAACATGAGTATCACACTCATCGGTATGCATTTAATATGAAGATTAATCCTTTGTTTGTTTTCTCTTCAGCTAAGCTGTAAATGAGCAATGTGCTATTTATTTCGTACAGACCATAAACTGATTTGTTGTCACTGTCATGTGCATTCTTACAAATGTAAAAGTTGCTAATTGACCAAAGTTGACTGGTTAGACAAACATCTTTCTCCTGATGACATCAAATAAACCCCATTCATTGAACATGTTGTGGTTTGTATTTTTACTGTAGTATTTTTTTTAAGGACAAAGAAATGATTTTAAGGAATGATATCATTTAAGAAAATAAGTATTTTGTTCTGTTAATTATTTGGTTATAATTGTTATGATATAATTAGTATTTTGTTTCATGATGCTGCACATAACTTTTGCAACTGCGTGTTAAATTTATACAACGTATAAAAAAGGGACATTTGTGTTTACAAAGGACTTACTATATTTTGAAGCAGAATGAGGACAGCACATGCGAGGAGAAAGGCGAATAGTTCACGTGCCATACCAATACCAGTGCATGAGTACAGCTTGGCCCCACCTACAGCCTCTGGGCCTGTGCAGCGGTAGCTCTGATCTACCATCTGGGTGCTCTGTCACTGCTTTGACAAGGCCTCTATGTGGACTGACAAGCTCTCAAACTGTCATGTGACCCACCACTTTTGCTTGCAAATGTGGATGGTATACTGGTAGAAGTTTTATCGATCTTTCTGACTTTTTTTTTGAGTGAAACCCGTTTTTTTCGCCCACACTTTTGCATAGTCTAGTATAGATATCTACTATCTCGACTTCAATCTGACAGGCAGGTGTTAGACTTGTTGGCGGAGTTCCACTTACATTTATCTCTACTTGTCATGCCAGCACCCAAGAAGGAACACACAATATGTCACTCCAGGTTTAAGTCTGTTTCAACTGTTTTTATTATGTAAATTAAAATACCAAAGACAGCCAACTGACTCATGTTTTACACAACATCTCTGTATTTAAGCAGTGAGGCTGAACGTATTAATAATGAACCTGGTAACCACAGGTAAACATGCATCATACCGTCCCAGAGGAAGCAGACTGAGTAAACACATATGAACCATTTACAGCAAACATGGCCCAGACTGCAGTATTTACCTGGGATGAGCAGACAATGAACATGGAGCCTTCCCTTTATGGTTAAGGTTACGGCACAGGTGTCAAAGTCAAGGCCCGGGGGCCAGATCTGGCCCGAGAGACCATTTCCAGTGGCCCTTGAGATGATTTCAAATTACTATATTAAATTAATGGTAATAGGCGACAATCCATTACTAAGAAAACAACCATAACCGTTTAATTCCATAAGAAATGTCAAGCCAACATGTCATTAGAAGTTAGTATTGTTAAGTTGTGTCTACAAGTCTACAATTACGTTTCTTCTTAAAGATATGAAGGAAGATTTCCCAATTTTCTTAGGAAAGAACCGCCCTCTCCACTTTTTGGACAAAACTCTCTGGTCTTATTTGACGAGCACAAATCACCAGAATGATGGACAATTAGGAGGACCAATAGTCTCGATGAGTCACCAAAAAGTAGAAAATCCTCCTATATACCTTCAATATTTGCTCCAGTTTTGGTTCAGTCCAAAAGACTTCTAATGAGAAAAGAATGTCCAATCCAACGAATGTGAAACAAGTCATTTATTTAGATTTCTTCATATTCCAAAAAAAAATATTAAATGAAACCCACTTGGCCCCTGACCAGCTCTTTCTTTTTTTTTTATTTGGCCCTCAACCAAAATAAGTTTGACACCCCTGGGTTACGGTATACAACACTATATTGTCCTCATGGGAAAATTTGTCTTCTGCATTTGACCCATCCTTCAATGCTTCTAGGGTAACCTGTAAGGAGCAGGGGTCACTACAGAGCAACGCTTTGGGGTCCATCTCTGGTTATTGAAGATGAGAAATATACTTCATTGAATACTTTATTGATCTCACTATGGAGAAATGGCCCATTGATCTTGGTCAGGACTAGTGAACCTGGTGGACTTTACCTATGGTGCATGTTTGGAGTGCTGGGGGAAACCAGAGTGCACAAAGGTAACCCACCCAAGATGCAAACTCAACACAGAAAGGCCCTGGCTGGCACTGGAATCAAGCCTGTGACCTTCTTTCTGTGCTAACAACTCAGCCACCGTGCCACCTAGAGCCCTATGGTGGCAGTCAGCATTACTGCAAGCAAAGTCCCAGAGCTGTATTTCTCTTGCACACATTCTCCTGTAGAGACGTCCGTACAAAGATACTAGGCTCTGATATTATATTCAGTTTACGTTCTACAATGTAAGGAACACATTACCAGTGATGGGAATAACGGCGTTACTAGTAACGCCGTTACTAGTAACGCCGTTACTAACGCCGTTACTTTTTTCAGGAACGAGTAATCTAACTAATTACTTTGACAGTAACTATAACGCCGTTATCATTTCCGACATCCCGTTACTGCGCGTTACTCAAGACGCACAATGAACGTGTTGTCATGAGAGAAGGGAGGATGAGAAAATTAATAGTTACCTAATGTAACTTAAGTTCTACGAATAGGTGCGTAGTCCCTTAGGACTTCGCTAGTGGGATATCACTCGTGACCCCCAGGTCACACGCCAGAGAGATCAAAATAATTTGCTCCAATCACCAGCCACCGTCCTCTATAAATGCCCCTGCACAAGGCCGCACCCCCTCTTGAACTCTGCCAAGACGGGCTGGCCTGATGGGCTCGTAGCTAAGGGACTACGCACCTATTCGTAGAACTTAAGTTACATTAGGTAACTATTAATTCTACGTCATGGTGCTACGTCCCTTAGGACTTCGCTAGTGGGACAAAACGCGGAGGCCGTAGGAACATGTACACCCCGCAGGCCAGCGAAGGGTGATTGGAGCTCCGCCCGAGCAAGACCCTCACACAGTGAGAGGACTCAGGGCAGAAGAAACAATGCGTGTTACAGGGCCACTCCTACCAAGGATACCCCCACGTAACACAGACCGTAGGTCATCCGTAGCCACAGGACGCCTCTCCCAAGAGCTCCTGACGTGGACTACATGACCGACCAAACACACATATATGTACCGCACCTGTAGGATGCCTCTCCCAAGAGCTCCTGAACCAGGGCGGAAAGTAAACCGAAGGCCCCCTCAGAGGAGGGACCTAACGGTCTAACTCAGTCCGCTGCACTCAGCACGGAATGGGCCACCGACCGGTCCGACACATCCAAAAGATAAGACCGGACGAAAGAAGAGGACGACGCCCAAGAAGCCGCACGGCAGACGTCCTCGACCGCCGCCCCCCTGAGAAGGGCCGTAGAGGCCGCCATCCCACGCGTGGAATGCGACCTGAAGCCCACCGGGGGGGCCAGACCCTGCGCCTCATACGCCCGCCGCACAGCCGTGGCGACCCAGTGCGCCAGCCGCTGAGCCGACAGCGGGGCGCCCCTGTTCTTGGGGCCCAGACACACAAACAGCTGACCACCCAACCTGAATGACGACGTCATGGCCAGGTAATGCCTCAGCATTCTGACAAGACACAGAAGGTGCCGCCGCTCCTCCTCGGGGGAGGCATGCGGTGGCGGATAGAAAGTCCTAATCCTGATGACTCTCGACCTAAAGGCCGACGTGATGACCTTGGGGAGAAAGGCCGGATTGGGCCACAATTCCACCATGCCGTCGCCCTCTCCAAAGGACAGGCAAGACGCATGGACAGAGAGCGCACACAAGTCGCCCGCCCTCTTAGCAGACGCCAACGCCAACAAGAGGGCCGTCCTAAAAGCGACACACTCGGGACTCGCCTCCGCCGCCGGTTCAAAAGGCGGACCCGACAGCCCCCTAAGGACCACCCTGAGGTCCCAAACCGGGGGCGTTCTCTGGAGCGGGGGCCTCCTCCTGCGCGCCCCCCGCCGAAAACGTTTAACCAACGGATGAGAGCGGGCTGTGAACCCCCCGAATCCGTCGTGACCCGAAGTAATGGCTGCCGCGAACACCGCCAAGGTGGCGACAGCCCTCCCCTTGTCAAAGAGCTCCTGTAGGAATCCCAGGACCCCCTCCAGCGGGCAACGCCTGGGATCCCAGGAACGGGAACCGCACCAGACGCTGAAGAGCCTCCACCTCGTGGCGTAGGCCCTCACAGTGGACGGCGCCCTCGCCCCCTGAATGGTCTCCACCACCGCAGGGGGAAGACCCAGGTCTACGAGGTTCCGCCTCTCAGCCTCCAAACCCAGAGCCTGCGGCCGATTATCGGGCGTGAAAACAGGGCTCCTCCCCCCTGGACTAGAGCCCCCGGCT